AGGCTCTGGCTCTCAGCAACACTGCTCAGCACACTAAAAATAGAAATCACAGAATCATAGAAAATTAGGATTTGAAAAATTGAAATACAATCAGCTCTCCTGGACTTCTTTCCCCCTCAGAGTGGCCTCTCAGGGGATCCTGCCCATCAATTCTCTGAGCAAGTCCAAGTCTACTTTTCTGAAGTCCAGGGTCCTTACTCTGCTGCTCTCCATCCTTCCTTCATTCCCTCAGGATCCTGAACTCAATCATCTCATGGTCGCTGCTGCCCAAGTTGTCATCCACTATCATCCCCACCAGTTTCTCCCTGTCTGGAAGCAGCAGGTCAAATCTGTGAGCAGCAGGTCAAGTTAGGCAATAGCTAGTTATGCTTCTTGTTCACAGGAACCCTATGCAGTGAAGAGAAAGAATTAGGCTCTGCCAAAGGGCAATCGAGAGTGACTGTGTGCTGAGCAGTGAGTACCTAGAGCAGTGATTGTCAACCATGGTGCTGCGGCACTGTGGGGTGTTGTGAGAGCCCGTTAAGGGTGCCACACCACCTTGCTCCTATGTGAGGTGGTAAACCCTCTGCTTCTGCATGCAGTGGCCTGAGCCTACCCCACCTACTTTGGAGGCACCTGCATTTTTTTCTTTGATGAATTTCATGGCACTTGAGAATCAATGAGCTTGAATATAAATTCAGAAAAGATATAGAGGGGTGCTTTGAAGCTAAGAAAGTTGAGAACCACTGATCTAGCTGGCACCATGTAAGAGCTGCAGGGGCTTCTGCTGCCTTCCACCCCTTCCTTTGCCCCCATGCAACCCCCATACTAGCTACTCCCACACACCCAGCAGCCTGCTCTGCTGCAGGTAGGTGGATGCACAGATATCCGCACTTTGCAGCCTGGCTCATTCTCTCCACTCCTCCAACACTCCCAAGGGCAGTGGGAAGGCCCACAGGAGTTGTTCCTAGCATATGTCTCAGTGGCAGTGGCTGCCCTTGCCCCCTCAGGTACAGAGGGTGGAAGGGGGAAGGGGCAGTGGAAAGAACAGGGCATGGCAGCCCCTGCAGCTCTTACGTGGCAGCTCCTACCAGCTAGATCAGTGGTTCTCAACTTTCTTAGCCTCAAAGCACCCCTCTATATCTTTTTTGAATTTACATTCAAGCTCATTTGATTCTCAAATGCTGTGAAATTCATCAGTGTCACGGAGGGTGCCTTGAGGCTAAGAAAGCTGAGAAACACTGGTCAATAGGAAACACAGGGTACGTTGGAACTTCAGGCCTTCAGAGATGTCTCTAGCCTCAGAGGTACCAGAGTGTCCTACAAAGAAGTATTCCTAAAGTATACTGACTGCATTGACTTTAAGATGTCATGCAGTACCTATGGCCACTTTCACTTAAAACCAGAGACAAAGGAAGTGCTATCACTTTTTGCAAAATGACCAAGCAGTAAGAGCAGTAAGAGCACTCAGAGGAAGTAAAGAACCAAGATTTTAGGCCTTCACCATGATTGGATGTCAAACCTTCATCTCTAATCTTCCAGGACAATGCCCTTGCCACACAACTACAGACTCTAGTTCCTTCTCTCTAGATTACTTATGCACTTTACATTAAAACAAAATGAGAAATAATCCAGCCACAGGGACCAATACCCAGAGCTTGCCTCCAGTCCAAAGGAATGCCCTCACCACTGGGTGACAGGGTCAGGATCCCTCTCGCTTGCTTTCCTAATGGCCCCCTAAATCGCACATGCTTGGCTGACCATTGAGACAAATGGATAGTGCTCCCAGATTTTGTGGTTTAACCACTAGATTATCTGCAACAGTTATCTCTTTCCTGAATGTGCAGGTACAGCGTCTATGAGTACTGTGCTCTGAACTGAGCTCAATGCTGTTGGTGCTTCTCCAGGGACTTAAGCAGTTTAGGCTCTTCCCTAAACTCTTCTTAAGTTGGTATGGAAGGCAGCAGCGAGAACTGAGCATTTAAGTGCTCAAACTGGATCATTTCTGAGAACACTCAGAAGATTAAGGCATCTAGAGATATATCAGCCTAAAACAGAGGTAACTTAGTGAATTTAGGTGTCTAAGTGATGTAGGGGCCACTAAAGTGGGATTGATCTGAAGCTTTGTTTTGTGACTTAGGGACGTAGATTCAGCAAAAGTCTCACTTATTCATCTGAGTGGTTTGGATCTTGCCCTTAACAATTAATCCTAAAAAACCTCTTGGATGGGTACAGAAAACCCTCTGTTAGTATTGGCATCAAAAGTCTCGTTACACTACAGACAATGGGAGCTTTCCCTGGATTTTAAGAGAAGCAGAATCAGGCCTAATGTAAATCAGACTAATACTTGAGTTCTTGCCAGTTCATACCTTTCCAAAATCAGATGTCTAAAGAGAGCTGGCATTCAATTCCAGATTTTCAGAAGGCTTCTCCCACAGCAGGGGAAGTGATCAGCTGTCCAGTGTGCTATGACTTACATCTAGAATTAATAGCAGGCCCAAAATGTAGACACAAACTGCACCCTGATTCCAGGGAAGAGGACACTAAACTCCTACCCCCCAAATCAGCAGGTTGAGTTACTGAAAGCAATTTTATTGTGTTTTCTTTTAAACCCAAACCCTTTGATATAGGCATCAGTTTATTGCCTACCCCATCATACTGTTTCTAAACTCCAGGACACTAAGGGTGACTTGGCTAAGTTAGCGGTATTTGGATAAGAACTGTTTCTATAGGGAGCATGAAGTATGCCTGGCTTGAAAAGCTGGGGTCAGCTTGACGGGAGCTGTGAAAATTTATAACATTAGAGGGCCTGTCCCAGTGTTTCTTGTGTAACAGGATAGCATGATTCTTTTGCTGATCTGCACCGTAAGCTCTGCCATTGGAAACTAACAGAGACACACTAATTGATTCACTCTTGAAACATGCGTTCAGGCATTGAGCCTGATGGAGATAGCATGGATATGTCTGCATGGCACATGGGCTGCAATCCTGAGGCATGCCATGCTAGCTCTGCACATTGTAGCTTCCATAGCACTGCAGTGTCATTTCTCAGCAGCAACAGCTTCTTAACTTTCTTGCAGCAAGAGCTCATTGGTCCCACACAGCACTGCACTAAAACATGGACACTATTTCCAATTTGGGAATTAGTACATGCAGAGCTAGCATGGCACTGTCCTGTAACTTATAATTATTCCCTCTCTGTTTTTGTGTCTGTCTATACAGCTTTTCCAAAACTCTTGAGAGCAAGCCCCCACCCAACCACTCCTGCTTCACACACCAAACCCAGAAATTAGGCAGTGAAGTTGCCCAGGGGGCACCCTCTGTTGCTACTCTTGAGCATACAGGAAACAGCTTGAAAACTTGTGGGAACCCCCAAAGGGGCTTCTGTGTTTTGGTACATGCAAAGTGGGAGCTGGTAGATAGGACCACGCTTCCTGGTGGTGCTCTCAGAGTGTTGTGGAAGTAGAAAAGGAGTACTTTGAATGTGTTCCTAGGGAGAAAGAAGAAAGCATGGTTGTATCTTTATTCTGCAATTTCAGATAGCAGCAGCAGAGGGGAGGTGGGGACTTAGGAGAATTCTTCCCTGTAAATTGTGTTGAATCCAAGCATTTGGTGTTACAGATGAAAAACTGGGCAAAAAGATTGTAGATTTAATTTGAATAAAGTCCTATCATTGGGAACTGCATTTTAAAAAGCAATTTAGCCTCAATACATCTGCATTTAATCTCTGTAGCAGATTGTCCTTAAGAGCTTCCTTGTGCTGTAATTTTAGCTCACATTGTTAGGAAACAAGAAGTTAAATAGTTTAATCACTGTAGTTTTTCCTGACCTTTCATGGAACTGTTTCAAACTGAACTGTAGACTGCACCAGCCTGCCAAGTGCTAAATTTGAGAACATCCTAATAAAAAAATTAGGTTTAATTTATAAAACCTAATGAAGGAATTGAAGATTTAATTGTACCTTGTAGAAACCCCCCCAGTATTAAAGAGTTTCTCTTTTTTTTCCCTTAGTTGAAGAAGAAACTCTGGGTCTAGAAAATATTGATACCATGAAGAAAGGGCACCAGAATCTTGCCACATGGTAGTGTGTTTATAGATTAAATCTTTATGCATGGTGAGACTGAGAAGGCTCTGGTCAGCTGAGTGTCATCCTTCAAATGGCCAATTATAAATTCAATATTTAGCAATCTAAAATGGGAAACACCACTTTTTTCTCTTTACATCTTTTTGATCTTTATTCTTTGTCAACAGACTTGACTCCAAAAAAGAACATATCTTGGGTTACAATGGAAAAAACAACTGATAATGTAGGATTCAATAAAGCATTTTATAAAAATGGCTTCCTTTTAAACACTGTATTATAGAATTATAGAAAATCAGTTTGAAAGGGATGTTAAAACATCATCTGGGCCACGTATCTGTGTAGGTACTTGGCAGTTCCAGCCCATGGCGAATTCCCTGCTGCCACAGACAGACGGCTATAGTGACTGCAGCACAGGCACACGTTCTCTTCCAGGTCAGTCTGTTCAAAACTCAGCTAATGGCATTTGCAAAGGCCAGTTGTCAAGGGCAGTCTAGTAAACACTAAAAAAGTAAAGCAGCATCAGTATGCGAGGAGAAGAGCTCCAACCACAATGGAAACTTCAGATCCTTCACATTTCAGTGGATCGGGCAAAGTTGGGCACAAAGTTCACAAAATATTTTTGAAAGTTTCACTGCTGGTCATGAGATAATACATACAGATAGCAATGAATGTACTGTATAGGTCTTATAAATTGTGGCACGATAGTAAAACTAACTGCATGAGAGGGACACTTCCTCAATAGCCTGTTGAGATTGTTTTATCTCTCAGCTTCACCAAGGATGCATGGCTTTTGTCTTGAAAAAGAATATACAAATTATATACACTTTTCAGTTAGCGAACATACCTGCAAACAGCGCACACAAAACAGTCTGGGTGGTAGGTTTTCCCCAGGGCTGAAACCACTTCCCCCTCAATGAATTCATCACAGCTGAAGCACCGTGTGCCATAGAGTCTTTGATAGTCCAAAGTACAGATATAGTCTCCCTGTCTCACAAAAAATCCTCCTTGAGCCAGGTCACATCCACAAGCTACATGGAGAGAAAAGACAGAGAGATTCAGAAGCCTCAAAAACAAGCTGCACATGAAAGAAAATCAACCTTCATACATGATCAGAGTATATATGTATGCTACAGAAGCATCATATTTTGAGGGTTTCTATTCACAGAATACCTACAAGATTGCTATCCCTATTGGTCATCATCATACATACTGTCCATGTCAACAGGCTTATTTTATTCTATATAAAACATTAACCACACTCTGAGAGGCCTGACTGTTGAAAGCTGTGCTCCCAGGACACATACTGTGTTGGGAGGCCACTCACCTACATTTACGACGATAAACGAATGTATAAGGGATGCAAAGCCTTATGATCCAAAGTATTACACAACCAGTAATTTATGACAGGCTGTTACCAAGGCTCTTTTGCAAGTCCACCCCCAAGGTCTCTCTAAGTACTGGAAGGATAAAACCCCACCAGTACTGGAAGGATAAAACCAGGTCATGTTACCAGAAAAAAGAGAAAGGACAGAGCCAAGAGCCTGTGAGAGATTTTAGCAACAGAAGATTATCTACATCCAAATGGATCTGCATGTTCAAAGGGGCCTAAAATGTTAATGCTCAGACTGGATCTTTATAATATTAAGACTGTTATACTTTTTCAAAGTTACAACAACATACCTGTCAACTGCTCTGACTTCATTTCTGAAACTGAGGTAGTATTTGCAGTAACACTGTTCTGGCTCAAGTTCCCTCATTAAGGAATAACAAGACATTTCTGAGTCTCCAGAGGGTCATCCTAGTCCTATTATGGGGGCACTTAACATACCCAGAGGTGGCAATGGAATTGCTCCTACACGTCAGTTATGTAACTCAGAGTTGGGTGCAAGCTGTATTTCCGTTGCCCACTGGGTAGAAAATAATTCTGTCTCTACTTTCTGAGAATCATCAGGGAGAGGAGATGGACTCTTTGTAATGCTTTGCTGATCACCTTCCTGCGATTTTGTTTTTTGACTGAGTACCTCCTCTAGCTCACAATTATTTTTGGCTGCACAAATGGCTATGGAGAAAATCCACAAGAGTTAGTGCTGTTTCAGACAGAAATAATGCCCCACCACATTCTCTCATGGAAATCAGCAATCTCATTACTCAGAGCCCCAGATCTCAGGGTCTCTGAAGGAGGAGATGCCACAGGATTTCAATGAGGAAACATGGAGAAGCCACGGACGTACGGTTTCTTTCTCCTATGTTCCCCAGGACACACTTGATCTCATCCTCTGGCACTTGTAGAAGTGAAGAAAAGCATAACTGAACTATATATCATTTGTCACTATTCTGGTTTGTTGTGCTATTTAAACTGAGCAATAAGCAAACACAAATCAATACGTATCTGCTGCTAATGCGGATGAAAAGACAAAATGTAGTCAAAAGCATCCATAACAAGATGTTTCACAGGACTGGTACTTTTATATGCTGTTAAAAAAATCAGGTGAAATCTTGGTCCTATTGAAGACAGATTGGATTTAACCCCAGAAATAGTTCCCTTTTTCCAGGCCCACCATGGCAATAGGGCTAGAACTCTTTTGTTTTTACTATCCATATCCAGGGGGAAATGTGTGCCCGTGTCTCCCCCTTTCTTTGGATTCTTAGAAGAAATCACAGTCAAATTACTTCTTCCCCTTCCCCTCACCTTTTATTAGAGACAGATAAACAAGACGTGTTGGACAGACTTCAAAACAGAAACTCTGCTTGGATTCAGCTTAGTCTTATCAAGCTTCTCTTAACGTTGTGTTCATTTCAGTTTCCCTGATCGCTGAAAGCAGCCGAGTTCAATAACGTGGAACACGATTTGGTCAATAAAACACGTCTTGTTTTGAGCTGTGCATATGCTCGCAGCAGAATATGTGTATGCATGAATAGCAAAATGAAGGTTAAGATTTATTTTCCAAATAAGCTGTTCTAATATCTATCATTTTAAATTGTGAATTTTAATATATTGACTTGAAAAGGCCATCATGAAATGTACAGTCCTAGGGAGAAGGGCAAATGAACAGTGGTAAGTATAACAGACAAGTAGGATGACCAAATAGTGAAACATGAGAACTAACCAGGCACAGTTCCATAATCAGATTAAAGGCAAATTAGCAATATACAACTACACAAATGATTTGGAGTCACCAGGGCAAATAGTTTTAACCCTACACAAGGCAACTTCAAGATGATGGATTTCCTAGAAAAAGGACAGATCCAATTGCTCTGGATTTCAGTAAAGCATCTGATATGGCTCCACATGGAAGTACAGTGAAACTGAAGAGGATGGGGATTAGTACAATTGTTAACACAGGTCTGAATCTGGCTAAAGGGGAGATGATGACAACACACTTGCATTGAAAGGAGAAGTGCTAGGGAAGAGGATCAAGGTTCAGTATCAGGAAAGACTGCATTTAATATTTTTATTAATGGCTTTGGCACAAGCAGCAGGAGCATGCTAATAAAATTTGTTGGTGTACCAGGTTGGGAGGCATTGTGAAGGCAGAAAAGGATAAGAGAGTCACACTGGAAGAGCTAGATGACTGTGAAAACTAAAGGGCTACGAGGATGACTAGGGGTATGGACAACCTGTCTTATTAAAGCAGGAGATAAGGGCTCAGCTTGTTTAGACTAGTAAACACACACCAAAATGAGTTAGGTTTGCTCTGGATCAGGGCTGTCCAACTTTCAACCTATAGGCCATATACAGATTGTGAAGGGTTAAATTGTAGCACCAACAACAACCAGACTCTGCAGGCTCTGGGTCCCTCTCCCTTCCTTCAGCTGTTGTTTCCTGCCCTTGACTTAGGGGTCATGGGCAACTGGTGCCGTCTTAGTGTGGGTGGGGTGGGGGGATGTGCCTCCCCAGTGACCAGTCAGCGACCAGTAGGGGGGGTCCCCTGCAGCCAATCTTGCTGACTGGGGGGAGGAGGGGGATCCCCCCACAGCAAAACTTACTGACTGGTGAGCGGGCGCGCTGCTCCCAAAAGTGGCCAGAGCCTACGTGCCCGTCACCTGAGCAGGGAGTGTGGCCTGACAGGGGATGCACCAGTGCTCTCAGGGGGTGCACGCGCAGCCCCATGCACACCTTACATATTACCACTGTTAGGGGTGAAGCACTGTGGAAATGCAGGGAACCAAGGGTAAGCCTCAGGCCCATGGGGCAGCAGGGGTGAAGAGGCAGGCAGGACCACAGGAGCATGGTGTAGCAGTGTGGTACCCATGTGGGTGTGCAGTTTAGTGGTGGGGGGGGTCATGGGCATGTTGCACGCGCAGCCCCATGCACACCTTACATATTACCACTGTTAGGGGTGAAGCACTGTGGAAATGCAGGGAACCAAGGGTAAGCCTCAGGCCCATGGGGCAGCAGGGGTGAAGAGGCAGGCAGGACCACAGGAGCATGGTGTAGCAGTGTGGTACCCATGTGGGTGTGCAGTTTAGTGGTGGGGAGGGTCATGGGCATGCAATGAAGCAGTGCTGATGGGCAGTTGTAGGCATATGCTGTGGGTGGTTGCAGGCAAGTGGTGCAGTGGTGTTGGGGGATGGGAATCCATAGGATGTGCAGCCAGGGGGCAAAGGGAGGGTGTCATGTCTTGCTTTGCTGTAGCATGTAGGATGTGTAGCCATTAACTCCTTGGAAGATGGACATTGGATAAGCATACTGGGGGTGGAGTACAAAGATAAATACCAGAGAGGGAGGAGAGCAAGGTACACTTAAGACAATGTTGGCACATAAGCAATGGGTGTAAACTGGCCAGGAATACATTTAGGCTGGAATTTAGAAGATAGCTTCTAACTATCAGAAGAGAGGTATTCTAGAAGAGCAGGCAAGAAACCTACCTAATGTTAAGATGGATCTGAATCCATTTATGAAACAGACTACATTTTGTCATATCCTGATGTAGCAGGGGACTGGAATCCATGAATAAAGCCCCCTTTGTGATACTGGTAGTTTGCCTTCCTAACAAAAAACCCCACAATATTTAGTAGAGGCTACTATCTAGTAGAGATACTGGCTTCTTAATGAAAGTGACAATACTGAGGCAGAGAGATAAAGGTAAAGATATCAGCTAAGCTCTCAGGAAAAAAAAAAAGGTGTACGATTTAAAAAATTGCTTTTGGATTATTTCAAAGAATACAATATAATCCATAAAGTGTCATTTTAAAATCCACCTCTGTATTTTTCTTTTAATACACAACAATTTAAAATAAAGTTATTCTGTTTTATTAAGGTAAGGACATTGTCATTTTTTTCCCATAAATGCAATATTTATTAAACATGAAAATAATAAAAGAACCCAGAACTAATTTATAAAAGTATAAATTTTTATACAACTGCTCTATGAGTGTATGAAATCCCAATCCCTTCAGTAACGTAACTACTGTTTAAAGAAATTTTCTTTTTCCATTGGCCATGTTAGTGTATATGTAATATTATAGAAGTGGATTGTCTGCTGAGATATATATGCTTAATAGGCCTGTGCAAAGCGGCTAGTATTTCATAGATTTCATAGACATCAGGGCTGGAAGGGACCTCGGAAGATCATCGAGTCCAGCCCCCCACCCAAAGGGCAGGAAGTCAGCTGGGGTCATAGGATCCCAGCAAGATAAGCATCCAGTTTCATCTTGAAGGTGTTCAATGAAGGCACTTGAACCACCTCCGGTGGCAGGCTGTTCCAGACCTTGGGGGCTCGGACAGTAAAGAAGTTCTTCCTTATGTCCAGCCTGAAACGACCTTGAAGTAGTTTGTGACCATTCGACCTCGTCATCCCTTGGGGCGCTCTGGTGAACAAACGTTCCCCCAGATGCTGGTGGTCACCCCTGATAAACTTGTAGGTGGCCATCAGATCACCCCTGAGCCTGCGCTTTTTCAGGCTAAAGAGCCCCAGGGCTCTCAGCCTGTCATCGTAGGGTCTGCTTCCCTGACCTCTGATCATGCGCGTGGCTCTTCTCTGGACTCTCTCAAGCTTCTCCACATCCTTTTTAAATTGTGGAGCCC